GTGACAAGTTGGGCATGATTGACATCTATGCTCCAACTTGAAGGGGAGTGTTGAAATAATTTAGTTGTTGGTGTTAGGGTCTGTTTGGCTAGTTAAAGCGTTTTTTATTTCTATTTTTTTACTTCTGTTATGTCTGTTATTGTACTCACTTATAGCAGGGGCACAAGGGTCTTTTCCCTTGTTATTTCTGGCCGGCCACACTGTCAAGAACTTCCAAAGCCGCCTACAACAACTCCTTCAGCAATATGGCAGCGTGCTCGAAGAACCCCAAGAACTTCCACCACGACGGAAGCATGACCACCGCATCCCCCTCATGCCGGGAGCCGCCCCAATACCCTTACTTTCAAAATTTAGAAATCGAGAAGCAAGTTCAAGATATGCTTAAGCAAGGGATAATATAGCCCAGTCACAGCCCATTCTCTTCACCGATATTATTAGTCAAAAAGAAGGATGGGACGTGGCGATTTTGTATTGATTACAGAGCCCTTAACAATATCACCATTAAAGACCGATTTCCAATACCGGTCATTGATGAGCTGCTTGATGAACTCAGTCAAGCCACCATATTCTCAAAATTAGATTTACGAGCTGGGTATCATCAAATAAGGGTACATAGGGAGGATATTCACAAAACGGCTTTCAGGACACATGATGGCCACTATGAATTCCTGGTCATGCCATTTGGGCTGACCAATGCTCCAGCCACATTTCAAGCATTAATGAACGACATATTCCGGCCATATTTACGTAAGTTCAACCTTATTTTCTTCGATGACATATTGGTCTATAGCCCCAATTAAGAGGAACATCTAAATCATCTACAAGTCACCCTTGCAACACTTAAGGCCCACCAGCTATTCGCTAAAGAGTCCAAGTGCTCCTTTGGACAAAACCAAGTTCACTACTTGGGACATGTTGTAGAGAACGGAAGTGTAGCAGCCAACCCAAATAATATCTCCAGTATAATGGGCTGGCCGCAACCCAAAAGTATGAAAGAGTTGAGGGCCTTCTTGGGCCTAATTGGGTACTACCGCCGCTTCATCAAAAACTATGGCCTAATAGCTACCCCGTTGACCCAATTGCTGAAACTAGATGCTTTTAACTGGTCAACCCAGGCCCAACAAGCTTTTGAGTAGTTGAGATAGGCAGTTGCGAGCCCTCCAACATTAGCACTGCCCGATTTCACAAAAGACTTCATCATTGAGTGTGATGCCTCCGGTCAAGGTGTTGGGGCTGTTCTCATGCAAGAGGGGCGACCACTAGCCTTTTTCAGCAAGGCCTTAACATCACAAAAGTGGGCCAAATCAGTTTATGAACGAGAATTAATAGCAGTGGTCTTACCAGTTCAACGTTGGTGATCCTACTTGCTTGGTAGACGGTTCATAATTCAGACCGACCATCAAAGTTTGAAGTTCTTATTGGATCAATCAGTCCTATCCCCGGAACAACAACGATGGATATCCAAGCTACTGGGGTATGACTACATAATTGAGTACAAAGCAGGGGCTGCTAACCAGGTGGCTGACGCCCTCTCACGGCACCCACAATCATTTCAGTTACTAGTATCTTCCCTAACATCTCCACTC